AAAAGTTTTGATTTTCTATAAACAAACTTTTTTCATTACATACTCGTAAAGAACCGAAAATAAAATGAAATGCGAACAGAAAATAGGAAAAAAAATGTTAACAAGAGGCCAAAAGGAATAACTTTTAGGAATTATAAACAAGTTATCATGAAATGTCGTTCCCAATCGCATTATGGACATATAAACGGACAAACCGACATCGAGAACAACTTTTACCGCACTAACAAATTTCCCACCTCCACGCTTTACGACTCTCTAGTCTGTGGCATTACGGCACTTGGCCACTTCAGCACTTCAACTGTGAGTAAAACCTAAAGTTTTGGAGCCGCCATAGTTGTCAGCTCCGCAAAGTGCTTAGGTGCGTTTGGGTCTACGAGTATTTGCCCATGTTGGTCTGTATGTGTGTTTCTTGATGTTTCCGGTTAATGTGCCATATTGTTTTGTTTAATGTTGTTCTTGTTGTTATTTCAGCTATTGTTGCCGTTTTGTAACTCTTGACAATATTTAAGTTTGTTTGCAACGTGTTAAGTTGTGCGCGAAATATTGAAAAAAAAAATAATAAAAATAATAAAATAAAATGGAAAAGTTTTTTTTAATTTTCCGCAAAATACATATTTAGTCGTATTGACACTTTCATTTACTTATGTGCCATGTGCTGCTAATTCCATAGAAAGCAGCATTTGTTCCTTAGCCGCGAAAAGTTTTCCGTTTGACTTCCAATAATTCAATATTCTGTAGTTTGTTTACTTTAAGTTTTATAAGAAATACATTTATTAACAATTTTCATTTTTCAGTTAAGAACTATTTGAATATTTTATGCTCAAGTCTATGAACTCCTCTATTTCTTTGTATGTTCAAGTAGAAATGTGTTTGATCAATAATATTGAAGTTATGTATGTATTCATTTATATATAAATATTATACCAAAAAATTTTTATATCCACCTTTTTCATTCGCAATTTTTCAATTATTATTGAAATTTTTGTCTCGAAAAATAAATAATCTACTTTGCATAATGAAATCTTTAAAACTTTTATACTTACTTAGTTTGCCATTACAGACGTGTGTCGTCCTTGGCCGCGTCGAGTAGCCTCCGCCAGTCAGCCCGATTAGTTGCTTTCTGACGCCAGTTGGTAGTACCGAGCGCCCCCAAATCGTTGGTCACCTGGTCCTTCCACCGAAGATGCGGACGTCCTCTACCGCGTTTTCCACCTGCGGGTAAAACTATTAAATCTTTAAAACTATTAGCCAACATAAAAAGCCAAAAATCGCAGACAGATAATTAAATCCATAAATATTTCCAAATCCCACAGAGTATGGTTATAGACGATAACTGAAAGAGCTATAAAATTATCAAGAATTCACTTGATTGATAATTCTTAAAGTTAATACTCCAGAATTAAATCGTTAAAAAATTCAAAAGTCACATACCTAAGTATAAACAAGCTACGAGTAATAGATGGCGTATAAAAACCACTAATGATAAATATATGACAATAACCAAAACAGTTGTACAGACAAGAGTTCACTTTGTTAAAATTAAGAAAAAATTTTAGATTTAAGAATTGTCTCAATATTACTCTTTTTTTATTTGAGAAAGACTACTTGTCATAGAACAAAAACAAAAATTTTCATTAAAAATCCATTAATTAAATAATATAATACAACTCAAAACAAATACTAAAAAATTATAGTCATTGCTTATCATCACATAAGAACTTTCTTTAAAAAAAAAGGAACTTTTAATCTAAACTATGCTAAAATCCATATGTATATATGGGTTTTATTTATAGGCAAACAGCTGGTTACTTTACTATAAAATACTTCAAAGATTTTGGTTGAAAATCTTAGAACCTACTCTTTGTTTGTGGATTTATAACCAATCAATCTACTTATAAGAATAATAGTGGTACGTGAGTAGCATACTTAGTTAATAAGAGTAAGATTAGTTCCTTCGGAATGCTACAATAGTAACTGACTTCTAAGTGTTAATTGTAGCTAAACATTAAAGGACCGAACTTGAATATTATATTTTGCTAAGAAAAATTTGACTTTAATATCCAAATTAAAATTAAATAAATTAAGCAATTGAAAGCTCATTTCTATCACTATTTTTCCTATTTTTTCCATTACTATGTATATAAAATCATGGACTTAAAATTGAAATCGATTTTTCATTATTTGTTTTGTAATAAAATAATTTTTTAGTTCTTTTTTGTTAATAATATGAATATGATTATGTTAATTTTTTTTCGTCATTTTAAGGAATTTTTACATTCAAATGGAAAGAGTAGTCATCGTCATGTTTTATCTTTTAGGTCATCCTATCAGATATAAATATCATTAATGTTCAATTAACTATACATATTTTAAGTTGATGCTGTTGCTATCTACTTCTTTACTGACAATCGAAATAGATGTTCATCTTCACTGAATTCTATATAAACTTGATATCTGAGTTTTCACATCTGTAACTTGTCAATTTGATTATAGGTGACACATTCGCTTATTTAGTAGTAATTAATGAAATAATAATACAGTTTTAATAAGAGTAGTGCTCTATATGTCCTATATGATCTCCTATATGAGATATATATGATATAAATCTCTCTGTATAGAGATCTCTATGTAAGTCCGTCAACATGGGGTATCAGGGCACGCTCATAAATTCTTTAAGCGATCGGCAGTGATATGACTGAAGGCATTTGTCAAGAATTTTGTGAGTCTTATTATACCATAAGCTACGTAGCTATAGAATATATCTTAGATTCCTATTTGTTTTTGAATTCGCTGTTGATTTTTCAGTCCAAGTTTACGACTACATAAAAGCGGACGGTACAATTTAAGCTTGTTTAATGTATTTGTGATTTTTATTTATTTATTTATTTTTATATTTATGTACATTATCTAACTTTTGTTAACTATAAAATAATGGCATAGAAAAAGTAGTAGTATAAATACTTGAGGTATATTGATAAACAAACTAAATAATGAAATCATGTAACTACGTACTAGGTGGATTGATAAATTATAATCTTGCCTAAGTAGTAAAAACGCATTTTTTGAAGAATTAGATGTTAAGCTATAATGTAGTCCACTTTTAGCTCGACACACTGAGTTCAATGATCTATCAACATTTGGATACCTTTTAAATAATACGATTTATCAACTATTCCAAATTGTATCTCAATTTCCTATTCCACTTCTTCATTTGATGCAAATTTCTTTCCCTAAAGCCAACTTTTCAAGTTTGGAAACAGGTATAATCACTGGCAGCCAAATCTGAAGAATACGAGGGGTGAGGAAGTAATTCGTATCGCAATTCATTTAATTTTGTTATGGTTTTTATTGACATCTGAGCGGGTGCGTTGTTCCTCAAAAACAAAAAATTTATTTATGTTAAATGTGGTCGTGTTTTCTTGATTTCCTTATTTAATCAATCCAATACTATGCAAGAATTATCTAATGTCATTGTTTTTTTTTTCAAATAGTCTAAAAAAATATTGCACTTGAATCCAAAAATACTGAATTCGTGGTCGTTTGGGAGCACTACTCCCGACCTCTTCCCATTCTCTGCTTTTCCTTCATGTGTAAAGTGACAGATCTTTGTTTCATCAATTGTCACTACTCGATGTTAACAGTCGGATAGATTATGCATAAACATTTTCAAACAATGATTTAAATGACGAAGTCATTTTAGGTCAGTTGTCGTTTTAGGTCCATTGTAAACAAACGCGGCACCCATCTTGCCGAGAGCTTTTTCATACCCAAACATTCAATTAAAATATTCGATACACGTCCATATGATATGCTTGTTATTTCTGCTATCTCACGCAATTTATTTCTTGGTACATCCAACACAATATCGTGGATTCATTGAAAACAGGACAATCATATTTTATCAATCCACTTAGTATAGATTCAATAGAATGCAATAGATTTGAATATTTTTTATTTTATAATTTTTAAATTTTATTAAAAACGCTATAATCACAATAACAGAAATCATGTCTTTTTAAAAAAGAATATCTCTCTGAAGGGTTAAAGATACTGCACAAAATCTTTTATTAGATTTTTCTAAGAATTTTAAAACATTTATATTAATCATATAGAAGAGTGAGAAAAAAGAAAAACCTATAACAAAGCGTAGGTAACAGACCGACAAAATTGCTCTATATCGTATCAAAAATTATTTATATATTTTTTTTCCTTATAACTTTAAAATACTTCAACTTCATCTGAAATGCCTACTTCAACTTCAACTTTCTAGAAACTAAAAGTATTTCGCAAAACTTTTATAAATTCTTGCAGTTTTTTGGCTTTTTTGAATTTGCAGGATTTGCATAACTAATGCAACTTCCAAGTTGCATAGCTGCAGCCTATGAAGTTTGCAAAGTTGGTTCCAAGTACAAAGAAAATTTTGAGAAAATGAGATGCAACATTTTCACGGCTACGTAAAATATATTAACAAAGAAATGAAAAGTAAGAAAAAAAAAGGAGCACGTAAAATCAAAATTAAATGAATGAATTTTACTAGCTAAACCACAAGCTCGCATCAAGCTCGCGGCAATCCTAGTGCAATGCTAGTGCAATCCTAATTCGTATCCTTTCATGCAAGTCACCGTTGCTTACTTAAGTACTCAAGTTTTTACGGTGTGTTGGAATAAAAATTAAGCCTAAAGAATGGAAGAAGTAAGAAATGCAGCAAATCCTGCTCCGAGACATTTTTATAGTCACAAGTGCACAATTGGTTGTTTCTGTGGACTGGCAGTCAACAACGTTTATTATTGAAGTTGGGAACATTTTCGCTACTTAGTATGCAGCTGCCATAGCCTGTTTCGCTATTTGCTTAGTTTCTGTTTTTCTTACTCCATTTTTGTA